ATAAAGGTCTTGGGATGGATTATATCTGGAGCAAAGGGTCTGTAGGAGAAAGGGCTCTCTCATGGGTGCTTTACCAGTGGGCTGGTTTAAGTAACTTTACCTATATTACTCTTTTTCAAAGTTGTAGATGAATTCTGTGTTGCCAACTGTTTCATGAAGGTAGCACACAGAGCTAGCTGGGGTCACTGTTTTYTGGGGTTGGCTGGTTTCTTTATAGTGCTGCAGACGTAAAGGTTTGCAAAAGATTCATTTTGTAACCACCTTAGGCATATATTTTTATATGTACTTTTATTTATAGCAAGTGTGTCTGTGAAGGATATATAGAAAAAWTTCTAACTCAATCTCATAATTCATTAACTGACATAGTTTTATTTTCTTAATTAATTTTTAATAAATCCCCTTATTAAACAGTGGCATTGTGCTGTRCCATTAACTATGCATTATACCATTACATTAAATTTATTTCTCACTTATGTACTACCCCAATTCAATGCTTCCTTGTTTTCTCATACATATATATTATTTCAAAATTAATGAATTTTAAAGGATTCAACATCATTAGCAAAATCAGCTCCCATTCAAAGAAAAATTAACAAAATCAATTTGTCATTATTATAATTATTTCTTTCGAATGTATTTCTCTCCTAGAATGTTCTCGTGTGTTTCATGCAGGAGGAGCAAGGCTTGTGTTGTGTGGCAGGACATGGGAAAAGTTAGAAGCCTTGTATGATGCCTTAATTAGTGTGACAGACCCCAGCACGGTATGTATTCACAGCCTGAGATAAACCTAAAAATGTGCTTTTAGATCCASTAAAACAATGCACAAGAAACACGACTCACTATCAGTGGTGAATTTGGTACCAACCACAGTCCAGAGAAACAAAGAAAGAAACTCCTCTGAAGGTCTTWAGAGCTGATGCCAAAATCCTGCTCTCTTGAGCTAATCCAAGGCAATTCCTGTAAAGCATCTGAGTGCTCCTGTATTCTGAACAAGCCACCCAGCTAGAAATCTTCAGCAGAAGATTTTGCCTGATAATTTGGATGAAAGGGATGCAAATGCTTCTTTAATGACAGGAAATGYCATCAGTTTTTCACGTAATTAGTGAGCTCAAGAAGTCGGACATGGGTGTAAATATCAAATTAATTTTGAGTTTCTTCTCTGTTTTGCGAAAAGTCCCAGGCAGAAGGAATTGGGAGTAAAAAATAGMACTGTCTTTTCCTCATGGCCACTGGCTGGGTCATCCTGACAGTAGACATGCAGGACTGCCCCTGCTCCAGCTCTTTGGCAGCTATCTCCAGCTCTTGGGAATGCTATCCTTCTGTGACCAACATACAGTTGACAAATTCCAGTGCACAGATGTTCCTGAAGGCATCATATAAATATTACAGCTATTGATCATCAGACCAACAAATATTTGCTTTTTTTTTTTGCAGTGAGCTTCATTCATCTGTATAAATAACCACAGAAGTAGTGTGTTAATGTTAGCCTGCACAGATTCAACTAGGAAAAATTATTAAGTATGACTAAGGGTTCTTCGTTACATTGTCTAAGTAATACAATTGTCTAAGTAAGAGAAAAACCTTCAAGTTCATTCCTCTGTCCCATGGCTGATAAAATCCATTTTTGCAGAAATCATACAAATGTAAACTCCATTTGGATAACCTAGAACAAAAACAAGCAATTCCTACCTTCCATCTGTCCCCAGGTATATGTAGCTTATTTATCAAAGCACTATACCCTATTCTCTGTTGTCAGCAAAGGATTATTCCCAGAAGGATCACGACTTGAACTGGTGGGAGTCACCCTTGTGTGTATTTTCTGTCTCCATTGATTACAAGAGAGACAAAACTAGGAGCTAGTCCACCTTTACCCTTCCCCTGGTGTTCTGCTTCATCTGAAATTCAGTGTCTRTGAATGCCCATTGTGACWGAACCACAGAATCACAGAATGGGTTGGACTGGAAGGGATTTTAAACACTACCGAGTGCCACTCCCTGCTAAGGGCAGGGGCACCTTCCACTATCCCAGGTTCCTCCAAACCCCATCCAACTTGGTCTTGAACAGTTACAGGGATGGGGCAGCCACAGCTTCTCTGAGCAACATSCACCAAAGCCTCACCACCCTCAGAGGRAAGAATWTCTTCTCAATATCCCATCTAACCCTGCCCTCTGGCAGTGGGATGCCRTTCACCCTTGTCCTGTCACTCCAGACCCTGGTCCAAAGTCCCTCTTCAGCTTTCTTGGAGCTCCTTTAGGCACTGGAAGAGGCATTAAGGTCCCCCARAGCCTTCTCCAGGCTGAACAATCCCAGCTCTCATTGCTGAATTATCTTTTTTTCTAGAGAGATTTAAATTAAAAAGCTTAAGCTTATGTGAGAATGATAAAAACACTTCAATTATCAAGGTAAATTCATTTACAAGACAAATAAATAGAAATACAATTTGTGTATAACAAGCACCATTGAAATGAGTCTTTTSTTTATTAGACATATGCACCAAAGCTCATACTTCTGGATATCTCAGACATAAGCTGCATTCGAGATGTAGCTAAGGAAATCCTGAATTGCTATGGCTGTGTGGATATACTGATCAACAATGCAAGTATGAAAGTGAAAGGAGCAGTGCAGAGCATTTCATTGGAACTGGATAAAAAGATCATGGATGCCAACTATTTTGGGCCTATAACATTAACAAAAGGTATTTCTGTTTTTTTCCTTTTTTTGCTGTTATCACTTAAAGCAGATTGGCAATTAGATAAGTTAATACTGCGGCCAACTCTGCATGTAGAATTCAGGTGAAGTTTAGAAGACAGTTTCCTTTTACTGGATTTTGTGATACTTTTGCTTGCAGTATTGAGACAACCTTCACTGAAGTTCTGCTATTTACACTTCATCTGTTACTCCTTTTCACAAAATACACTCAGCTCTTTTACTTATGTGGCTCTTTCTTGTGTTTCTCTTTTTGCAGCCATTCTTCCTAACATGATCTCAAGAAGAACTGGCCAAATTGTTCTAATTAACAGCATCCAAGGGAAAATTGGAATCCCATTTCGTGCAGCTTGTAAGTTATACATAGCCAAAGCAAGCATTGCAATGCCTGAGTTGTGAGTAGTCCATGACACTCATAATTTGTTATTAAAAGTTATAATTTGCATCAAAATTCAGTATTACTACAGTATTTGGCTGAATTTTTTTCAAAGAGGAACTCAATTAAAAATAATTAAAATGCTATCTTTGAAATGTAATTGCTGCCTAGGGTATTTGAGAATAAGATTATATAAAATGTGATAGCAGTTTTTATATATATATAAAAATATATATTGTACAGATAAAATCTGTATCTAATCTGTAGTGTGGATATTGGTAGAAAGCATAATGAAGAATAGTGTATAAATATAAAATATGAGTAGATAAGAGCTATTGCTTTGCGAAGAAAGCCTGATGCAGTTAATGTATTTAGGTGGGGGAGTGGGAAGGAGATGTAGTAATTGCTTTCTGTTTGGCTTTCCAGAAAATTTTCCAGGAAGTCTTTCACCCAAAACTCCTAAGGAAACAAGGCTGTTTGAAATTATTATGGAAGGTCTTTCAATTAATAAAATATGAAATTAGTGGACAGAAAATATAGGAGAGATGTAAATAGACATTTTAAACTTGGGACRTATCTAAACAGACATTTTTAACTTGACAGAAAGTCAGAGTGAATGATGGGCTCTGAATTAAAAAGTCTGCAAGACCTCAGAATTGTGACTTATGGTTCCATGAAAGCAAATCACAGTGACAGAATTGAAAAGGAAAGCAGAAGAGAAAATAAATTAAAACACATCTTTGTAAATATATGCATAAATCTATGCAGTGCCCACATCTTGAGTATAGTATGCTATTCTGGTCTCCCATCTCAAAAGAAGTGTAAAAACTACAAAAAGGGTTTAAAAAGGAAACAACACATTGATGTGACATCTGGAATACTTTCCATCTAGGGTACAGACAATTGTAATGCACAGTACAGATATACTGTATGTGTATAAAGCCATAAGAAGCAGAAGAGCCAACAGAGTTCTTAYAGTGCCCCTACCAATATTTATGTAGCATGAAATGAAGCTGCCAGAAGAAGGAATGTCAAAATGAATACATGGAGAAATATCTTTCCATTCCCAGAGAACACCTGCCATTGTCTAAATATGCACAGACTGATTTTCACTATAAACTGAGTCAAATAAAAGGTGATTTAGTGCTTTGCAGTTCTGCTGCACTGAACACACAGTTCTGTCTSTTGGTCAAGTTTCACATACTGTCATCTTACTTTCATTATGTTCTCAATAAAAGGACACTAAAAGCAGATAAGAAAGTCTTGACATTCAGTTCCTTTAAAATTCACTTTAAAAGTRTCTCAGATTGCTTCTGCAGGGCAGAGTCCTAATTAGTTTACAAAGCATAAGGAAACTGCATTCCAGCAGTGGACATATATTTCACTGCATTTTATCAATGTGTTACAAACTGCAGAAACAGAAGCTGTGGGGACAATTCCATCCACCAAAGACATTTTTGAACTGCAGAGATAATAGAATTGCTATTTCCTAACCCAGGACATACTATTACAAACTGGGAAATGCAGACACGTGCTGTTTGACATATCCAAGACACTGCWTGCACAATTGTCCTACATAGATAATTTGTTGCTTGTTTTAAMTATGTCATATGATAATTTCACTAGGTGAAATAATTCACTTTTCTTTTGCCTTTTCATTCCATGCTCATTTTCCCAAACATCRATGCTGTATTATACATTTGCTTCCATGCAATCATATATCTAATCATGTTTATGTGGGCTTTTTTCTTTTAGATGCTGCTTCRAAGCATGCTGCTGTAGGCTTTTTTGATTGTCTTAGAGCTGAAATGGAAGAATTTGATATTTCWGTCAGCACTGTGAATCCAACCTTCATCTGTTCATACCATCGCCAACCAGCACCAGGCAACTGGGAGGCATCTATTTGGAAATGTAAGTTTAGGTTGATGAAAATGAGGCACTTACAGCAGGATGGAGGCTTTTCCAGGGTAAAGAAAAGAGTATCGGAAAAATAATGGAAATGACAGAAAGGATGAACAGGCATAAGGAGAAAAAAAGATATTGGAGAGGTAAAATGAGCCTGGTGAAAAGAGAAGGAATATAGAGCGAGACAACATGATTGAGAAAATAAATACACCAGGGCATCAGGAATGGAGGTGGAGGAGAGCATGAAAGGTCCAAAGGGAGAGCTCCATTGCACTCAGGTTGCTCCTTTTCTTAGGGACTGTTAGGATTTTACTTCAAAATTATAAAAAGATCTTGCTGACATACTGATAAGGAGAACGGAGTGGGGAAGAGATTACAAGTGTGTAGGAATTAAACTGATTTGACTGATGCACTAGTTGTATATTGTTTTAACCCCCTTCTCTCAGGATATCTGGCTGTCTGTAGCTCTTACTCCTCTCTCATTTGCAGTCTTTTTCAGGAAGGTGTCCTATGGTGTGCACCCAGTGGAGGTGGCAGAGGAGGTGCTGCACACAGTGAGCAGGAAGAAGCAGGAGGTGCTTATGGCAAATCCCATCCCCAGAGCAGCAGTTTACATTCGAACCTTCTTCCCTGAGCTGTTTTTTGCCATTGTTGCCTCAGGGATTAGGGAAAAGCTGAAGACAGAAGAGGAAAATTGATTTTGTTATTTTCCTTGCTTTTGACCTGAAAAAAGGGGCTCTTTTTTAAATGTGAGTGATTTCTGCTGCTTGCTATGGGTAGAATAAAGCTACTATCATTGACACACACATTCATCTATAAAGCTTCTACTCTTCCAGTTTTAGAGAATATGACAATATGCCATTGTTTGTATTATAATGGCATGGGAAAAGCTCTACTAGAACTCTATCAAAATATAAGACAGTGATTCCCAATCTAAATAGGTAGATCAAAGTCAGGGGACATGGAATAACTTCCTGGAATAGCCATCAGTGTCAGAACTGATGGGAACCTACAGGAGCAAAGGAATGGGCAAAYAGGTGTATGTGGGAGACAGATGAGTAAAAATCAGTGAAAAATGGACTTAAAGCTTCGCTCGGTGTGTTCCTCAGATGTGATTTTTGGAAGGATTCTTGCAGGATATGCAACTAGAAAGCCCAGTAAAGGCTTATCTAGTTCAATATCCCATCCAAAACAGGACCCTGAAAAGATGGACTATTAGAATGGTACAATATTATGGAATGAATCCCTGTGTTACAGTCTTCCAAGTTATGGCAATTTGTTTCTCAGTTTGAAACAGACTCTGTCTCTGCATTTTTTTTTAAACTATCAAAATTTCACACAAATCTTTCAAATCCTTATTTGAAACATTCCATCACCGGGGAAAGGAACTCGTCATGTATAAAAAAAGACTGCCTTATRTTTACGTTAAAGCTAGTGTCACATAATATTCTCTGACATCTCCTTCATCTTTTAGTGTGAGAGACACAAATAATGATACTCGAATCATTCACTCCCAGTCATTCATRCCCTTCATACATTCCATACCATTACCTGTTTTCAAAATGGGAGAACCTTGTTACCTATTCACTCTGCGTGAGAATCCAGATTATCCTTCTTGTTCTTTTTTATAATTTTTTTCCTTTTCCCCTCCCCTCCTTTATTCTTTCTCTCCAGCACATGGTCAGGAGAAGCAGGCTTTTCCACCAGCTTGTCTTTTTCCCCTGTGCCACATGGTCTGCTATAGTGGCCACCAKATTGGGGGAGTGGCATCTCTGCCACTGTTTGTTCACTGTGGGTCCAAAGCACCTTTGTGTCTAGTGGTTATTGCTGTTATCTTGGTTGTTGCTGCTTTTCTTTTTAGTAAATTGTTATTTTTTTTTTTCATTTATATCATCATACATTCATCTCTCCTTATTGGTGAAAGGGTTTTTTTTTTTTTCATTTATATCATCATACATTCATCTCTCCTTATTGGTGAAAGGGGAGTGTTAAAGGTAAAGGGGAGGTAGCTCATTTTGGAGTATTCACTCTATAATTGTTTTAGACTAGGACACCTTCAAAGGAAATATCTACTCTAGAAGCATAGAACCAAAMTGCTCTTGCTGCTTTAAGAGCATAAATTTCAGCATCAGCTCGCATCAGCTTACTCATATACTTCATTCATCAATAGAACCACCAAACATGAAAGGAATTCTCTGGGCAAGGAAATATATGTCATCTTGCAGGGACATTAACTTTTTGCTGTATCTCTGATTCAATTGCTCTCACTTCAAGAAACCTGACTCAGGGAGGTAGTTCACCACTGAGGAGAAGGAGTCAGTTCCTGCAGTACCTGCTGGRGCTCCATCTATTTTCTGTTGTAGCACTGTGGCACTGTTGTAGGGTGACTATACCTTAACTGGGAAGTCAAACAATCACTTTGTTTTAAAATTTCTTGCTCCTCAACAAAACTCTACTCCTTCAAACCAATGGCCATTTGGTGTGATCAGTTACATTTGTTTCTGTACCTCAGCAACAGTGAATTCCTCCACATTTCTATGAGAAAAAGATGCAGAATAAGCATGATTTCATCAGGGAAGGATCAGGCACCATAGGACATCACAGCTAAACATGAATCAACGTTGTTTGTAGCTGCCCCATCCCTGGAAGTGTTCATGGCCAAGTTGGGTGGGGCTTGGAGTAACCTGGTCTAGGGGAAGGTGGCTCTGCCCATGGCAGAGGGTTGGAATGAGACAGATGGTCTGTAAGGCCACTTCCAACCCAAACCATTTTGCAATTTCTATGATTTCTATTTTTGTCTTTCTTTGTTATAAAAACAAGTGGATTACATGTTAAAATGAGCTGAATAATCCTTCTGTTCCATTTTGCATGTTTTAGATATCAGCAGAAATTCTTAATAGAATTTCACTTCAAAACAGTGAGCAGTTCAAKGAGCCACAGGAAAAGGCAGTGAGAGTGAAAAAGGTAAAATAACAGCTGTGGCCTATCAAGAAAGTTTTAAAAAACAGGTGTATTTTAATCTAGAATGTAGAAGAAAGTTGTATCTAAATGGTTTTCAGATTCCTAAAATGTAYTGCAAAGAAGGTAGAACTGTTCTCCATTTCTGCTGGAGTAGGACAATGTGCTAAAATTACTGCWAAGGAGATTTACAGGGACAGCATTTTCTGCTAAGAATAGTTAAGCACAAAAGACAAATTGCCACAGAAATTTCAAATGCCTGTCTTCAGAAGCTTTAAAGAAGAGATTAATGAAACATCTGTAAAAAAGCAATGTAGCTTTCGTTTATCCTGCCTAGAAGAAAAGAAGGATTAAATGACCTTTTAAATGGGTCACACTTTTCTCTAATTCAGTGGGGTTTTCTCATCTTGAAGACAAGATGGTATTTCACTGSTATTTCAGAAGCAATTTTTTTTTTCCTCTGGGGAAATCTATTATTTAATCTGAGGTTTTCCATTTCATTTGTCAATCTCTGTTTTGCCATCTCACCTGTGGATATATGTTGTGTATAAAAATATAATAACAAACAGAAATACTGAGTTCAGTGAGATAATTTCCAAGAGTCTCACTCAGTGATATTTAAATCTATGTAAATTCCTTAATCACATTAACTTTTATAAATGAGGACAAAACTAGGCCTGCAGATTTAATTGTAGAAGTCACAGGAGAAAGATAATGAGCTACAGCTCCTTTARTTAACTCTTTAAGCTTCTCACATGCCCAAATGCCACATAATTTTCTTTCAATGTGAGCTGCAGTTGCATTAGTTTAARTGTATGGGTTCTGTGTTGAAATCAACTGTTACTTTTATTGTCCAAAAAGGACTGTTGAAGTGAGGAAGAATTTAAAAGTGAGGAGATGCTTGCCTAATTTTAGACATCTGTCCTAGATATAACCCACWCAAGGCTGACCTCCACACCTCCTTCTTAAGAGGTGGAAAGAAACAGGTGTCTGTAGCCTGATTTATCTGACTTTTTGTTCAGGATAACAGGAATTGCATCCCAGAGGTGCCTCTTTCTCTCATTAACTTCCAGTGGTAACCAGCACTATTGTGGACCTGTGTATTGTATTTGTGCCACAGGTATCTGAAGATACTGAGATGCTATATTTATCAAAATTGATGGGATCTGATGAATCAGAATAACAAAATGCCGCAGGAGTTTTCTCTCTGCTTTCAAATAATGTGGTTCCAGGACCTACTGGTAGTCAAAAGTTAAAATAAGGACCAGAATATGAAATCATGGCTTACAAATAGGGATAAAAAGTCCTGCATTTCATCAGGTGAATTTATTTACCAGATAGCCAGCAGAAGACATAGAGTTATTTGAATGGTTAGCATGAGAAAAACAGTTTAAGATTTAAGAATTGATCTGGATGCATTCTTGTTGCACAATTATTTGAAAAGCCCTTGACCACACACAGCACTTTATAAACATGCAAACCATTGTAAGGAGCAATCCTGAGGAAACTGCATACAGCAGACACTGTCAGTCTATGTTAATAACTGCAGGCTAAGGAAAAAAAAAGAGGCACTTTCTTAAATTAGATTTTTTAAAGGACTTCTTGGCACCAATCAAGGTGGGTGAGGTGGAAATTCTTCCAGGACACTCAGGAACAACATGAGATGGGTAAAAATCTATTGTAAAAAAGAGTTGTTACAAGTGACAAAAAGCAGAAAGCCAGAAGGAATCAGGAATAATTCTTCTGTCTGTGAAAGTGTAAGAAACATATCCATTACAAAGAAATGTGTGAAACAAGTGGAAGGAATCAAGATCATGTGTTTTGGTCAAGTGATTGAGACTGTTTCTAATAGAGTGGGTACCAAACTCTCCAGGAACACCTTTGTTCCCCTGCTGAACTGAGGGTGGCAGTTTCAGAGCACTGTAAAGGATAAAGACAGACTTTTCTAAAGATTAAAGGGGAAATCTTATTGCTATCTGCAGCTACCTAGTAGGACAGTGTAGGGAATACAGAGTCAGATTCTTCTCAAATGTGTGCAGTAGAAGAAAAAAAGGTAATGGACACAAATTGGAACACATGACATTCTGATTTGATATTAGAAAATACTTTTCTACAATTGCAGCAGTGAAGCATTGGGACATGTTCCCAACAAGGTCAGGAAATCTCTTTTCTTGAATATATTCAAAATTCAACTGCTTCAGTCTCTGAAGAACACCACTGGCCTGCCTTTAGGAGGGAAGGTTCAAGAGACAAATGTAATAATCTCATGACAGACTTATAACTGAAATTGTTCTTTAGTTCTGTGTGAGTCTATAGGTATAGGGAAGATTGATCACTGCTCTCCAGCCAAGACAATTTTGATACTCTCTCAACCAGAGAATGTGGTTCTGTCCGTTTTCACACAGGATGGGAAAATTTGGATGATACCAAATGCTGAAATCATTGAAAATTAATGAAACTGCAGTCAAGTTAGGCAGAGGAAAACAGAAACCCAACAAACACTGCTGAGGTTGTCAGGAGATKACTTTGTGTATAAATACCTGACTGACATCCTTTAGCAGGCCCCACACTGTTCCATGTGATAAGGGATCAGCTGCAGGATGCAGTCACCCCCARGGCTTGGCAACTTCTTTTGTCCTCCCTAAGCACTTAGTCATTAAGGTAACAATGAATGTTAATTAACATTTAACATTAATCACCTATTAATGTATCTCAGCAACAAAATGGGGRRAAAAATYCCCAGGAAGGGAAACAAAAGGAGAAATCCTWACTTCTAACACTTGGCAACTCTTCTCAGCAGCCTGTTTCACCATTTGACAAATCCCCACTTTGGGAAATTTCTCCTACTCTGTTCAAGTCTCTCTTAGATGAACCTATGTCCAGTGTTTCACATCCTCATACAATGCACCAGTGTAAAAGGCCTAGCTCCATGTAATAAATTGCTTTCTTGTGGAAACTACAAACCAGCCTGACATTATAGATATTGGAGGGCCTCAAGTCCCTCTGAAGTTTCTTCTGCAGRCAGAAAAAATGCCTCAGCCTCTTTTCATACCATATGTGCTCCAGTCATCTTCATTGTCCTGGTGGCCATCTGCTGAACTTGATGCACTTTGCTCCTGTTTTTCATGTTTTATCCCCAAACAGGATTCTGTATGTCATCTAATGCTAAGTGACAAGGAATTATCACTTTCCTTTATCTACTGGGTGTGTTCCTGTTAATAAAACCCAAAATGCTGTTGGCTTTCCCCAAGTCCATCTCCACTGAGTTAATCTTGAGCATTGCAGCAGCCCAACCATGCAACC